AGACCCCCCTTGGTCCAATTTTCTTCCATGTCAGGAGCCAGTGGTGAGACGTCCGCAGCAGTTCCAGAGCCAGAAAAGGCCCAGCGTTTACAAGATTGCAGAATTTCTTCCAGATGGGTTTAAGCTCGTTTCCAGGTAGCGTCAGACTATAATAGATTACAATAGAACACACAAGCTGAGCACAATAGAATATATATTATGAATATATCAGCTGAGATGTTGGGGGTGTCCAGGGTTTACGGCAGCATGGAGGGAATCCACATGAAAGACATGAAGAAGATTTCACATGTAGGCTGAAGAGGTTGAGGACAAGGCAGAGGCGCCAGCGCCTTCAAATGCTGAAGGCCATTGGATGCTGTTCTGAATGTCAAGTCAGACAGATCCACTTTGTTTTCCAATCATGTCTCATCAATTTGTTCACACTTTCAATTTGTTCCGATGTGATTTTGTTGAGATGCAACTATGCACTGAAACATTGATCTCAGCTCTATGAAATGCAATGTTTAGACCCCCCCTGGTCCAATTTTGTTCCATGTCAGGAGCCAGTGGTGAGACGTCCGCAGCAGGTCCAGAGCCAGAAAAGGCCCAGCGTTTACAAGATTGCAGAATTTCTTCCAGATGGGGTTTGAACGCTCAGTTCATCTCATGTCCAGATGACAGCAGATCGTACGATGATTTTGTAGAATATTATAATATATTATATATATTTATATATATATATATATATGATATATTATGAATGTACCTGGTGAGATTTGGAGATGTGTGTGTGTGTGTGTTCAGGGTGAAGTGCACTATGGACGGACAAGACATAAAAAATCACACGTAGGTTGACGGAGCTGAGGGAAAGGCCCAGACGCCAGTGGCTTCAGATGCTGAAGGCCACTGAATGTTGTCTTGCAAGCGATGTTTAATCAATTTGTTCACACTTTCAATTTGTTTCGATGTGATTTTGTTGAGATGCAACTATGCATTGAAACGTTGATCTCAGCTCTATGAAATGCAATGTTTAGACCCCCCTTGGTCCAATTTTCTTCCATGTCAGGATACAGTGGTGAGACGTCCGCAGCAGGTCCCGAGCCAGAAAAGGCCCAGCGTTTAACAGATTGCAGAAGTTCTTCTAGATGGGGTTTAAGCTCGTTTACAGGTAACGCCAGACAATAATAGATTACAATAGATTATACAAGTTGATGAAAAGACATGAAGACGATTTCACATGTAGGCTGAAGAGGTTGAGGACAAGGCAGAGGCGCCAGCGCCTTCAAATGCTGAAGGCCATTGGATGCTGTTCTGAATGTCAAGTCAGACAGATCCACTTTGTTTTCCAATCATGTCTCATCAATTTGTTCACACTTTCAATTTGTTTCGATGTGATTTTGTTGAGATGCAACTATGCACTGAAACATTGATCTCAGCTCTATGAAATGCAATGTTTAGACCCCCCCTGGTCCAATTTTCTTCCATGTCAGGAGCCAGTGGTGAGACGTCCGCAGCAGGTCCAGAGCCAGAAAAGGCCCTGCGTTTACAAGATTGCAGAATTTCTTCCAGATGGGGTTTGAACGCTCAGTTCATCTCATGTCCAGATGACAGCAGATCGTACGATGATTTTGTAGAATATTATATATATTTATATATATGATATTTTATGAATGTACCTGGTGAGATTTGGAGATGTGTGTGTGTTCAGGGTGAAGTGCACTATGGACGGACAAGACATAAAAAAATCACACGTAGGTTGAAGGAGCTGAGGGAAAGGCCCAGACGCCAGTGGCTTCAGATGCTGAAGGCCACTGAATGTTGTCTTGCAAGCGATGTTTAATCAATTTGTTCACACTTTCAATTTGTTTCGATGTGATTTTGTTGAGATGCAACTATGCACTGAAACATTGATCCCAGCTCTATGAAATGCAATGTTTAGACCCCCCTTGGTCCAATTTTCTTCCATGTCAGGATACAGTGGTGAGACGTCCGCAGCAGGTCCCGAGCCAGAAAAGGCCCAGCGTTTAACAGATTGCAGAATTCTTCTAGATGGGGTTTAAGCTCGCTTACAGGTAACGCCAGACAATAATAGAATACAATAGAATATACAAGCTGATGAAAAGACATGAAGACGATTTCACACGTAGGCTGAAGAGGTTGAGGGCAAGGCAGAGGCATCAGCGCCTTCAAATGCTGAAGGCCATTGAATGCTGTCTTGAATGTCAAGTCAGACAGATCCACTTTGTTTTCCAACCATGTCTAATCAAGTTGTTCACACTTTCAGTTTGTTTTGATGAAAATTGTTAAGTCGCAACTATGCACTGAAAGATTTATCTCAAACAACATTTCCTTTGAAAGGGGTCTTCGTGGTGAATGGGATCCAATTTTGTTCCATGCCAGGATTCTTTGAGGAAGCGCCAGTGCTGGCTCCAGATGAGGCACAGAGGGCAATTGATTTAAAGGAATACGCTAAAATACAATATAATGATATATAATGATTATATTATATTATATTGATATATTTTGCAATATGCCTTGCATGGTGATTTGATGTCTGCAAAATTGAGATTGCCTTGTTTGCCAGGCTTTTGTGGCTCGAAGTTATTAACGTCAAAGCACCCTGTCATAGTCTGTTGTCGTTTCACTTTGGTGACCGTTCCATCCCTTCACCACTGTACAATGGCGGACGTGTTTGACTTTGCCATGATCTTTCTTCTCTTTTTTCCTGGTTTCTTCCTTGGAGTTCTCTCGACCTGGTGTTGCCAGCAGAGAGCCACTCTTCGTGGGAAGCCCTTGCCCTGTGGGGATGCTGGGTGCAAGGGAAAAACCAGTTGTGCAGAAGGTGGAGGGAAGCCCCTGTCTTCAAGTCAGTTTGGAGCACAAAAGAGGAGAGAGGTAAAAAGTGAGGTTAGCTTCAGCAAGAAGGTTGCCTATGTCAGCTCAACAGGTGATTGCATTCACTTGGCTGAGGGATGCTGTGGGATGAAAGATCCTAAACAACTGAGATTCTGCAAACGATGCTTTGAGTAGATGTGCTGACAACATAGACGCTAGAGCCATGCCAAGATGTGATGAGTGATGATTAGTGGGAGCCGCAAAAACACGGCCACGCTCTGTAGACTGCTCTGTAGCTAGTTGCAAAATGGATCAAAATGGACTAAAAAGGATCGACGCCTCTGATTGGACACGGTCTCAGCCATAGGATGGTGAAACATATGCCATAATGCAGCTTGCACTTAAAGTATAGTAAAGTTATGTAAAGTTGATCGATGTACATGCAGGTTTGCAGCAATGAGATGCAATGAGCATGTTATTATGGAGTACTGTTGCCCGCTTCATTCCCAGCTATGTCAGGACAATGCCCAGCAGCATGAAAGTGCAGCAGGACAATCTTTTGCATTGAGCTGAACTGGACCAACGTGCTCTATGAAATCACAGGGCTCACCCCATACAAACTGGTCACAGAGCAAACAGAGGCGAGCAGTAGCAAACACTCAGGACGACCGAAGAGAAAGAGGAAAAAGCCTGCATGGTTTCAGGTGCAGAAGAGTTCAGACTGTGCCTGTATGATCCTGTATGTATCTGTATGTGGTATGATGACGTATTCTGATGTATTATGTGGTATATGGTATTGTATGGTCACACGTTTGCCCTCTTGATTCCTGTTGTCCCAATATTCTCCAATATGTCTCGTACCGAGCTGTTGCCAGGATCCTGACCAGCAGCCCGGAGATGCAGCAGGATCCGTTTTCCTGGATTTGCCCCCCCAAATTCTATAAAATCATGTGTCTCTACCCACCCTGACCAAATAGTTCTGTGATGTTCAGGAGATGTTCCTCATACATTTGATACTTTGTTGATCTCTTTTGATATTTTTGATCTTTTTTGGGGTAGATAGAGATTTTTTGAAATGGATCGAAACAGTTTGCTCAGGAGCTTCTCATTTCAAGATTCTTTTAACTTTCGCCAGGAAGTTCTACTGATCTTGTTCCAGATCCAGATGCAAGCAAGAGCAACGCCAAGAAGAAGAAGAAGAAAAGCAAGAATCAGGCTTAAAGTGTCAGAATCTTTTGATTGGGTGCTTGGCCGCTAGCATTTGCTTATACAATCTAATACATTCTGATACCATCTGTATCCATCTGGACTGACATTGGTTCCAGGATGTTTATAGTATGTCTGCATGTGTGGCCAGCCACCTTTGAGGCCGCCCTGCCTCCAGAGGATGATGTCAATGTCGATGGGGATTGGCAGGACGACTCTTCCACCCTGGTGAAGATAGAGGTTGGGACACGCGATCTCTGATTAGGGATGATATGCGATGATAACAAGGGAGTAAGTGACTCCATGTAATTCCATTGACATGTTTGACATTTATAACATTTTATATCATTTTATATCATCGTTTTTAAAAACATGTTATTTGTTCATATGTGTTCTATATTTTGATGGGATTTGACCTGTTTTGAAGAATTTTTTGAATGCTTGTGATGGAAGGCCTCGGAAAAGCTGCATCACCACCCAGGACTTCTGGTGGGTTCCAGGCATTTGGATCATGTTGGAATTGTGCAATCCAGATTGAAGAACCTGGCATTTGATACATGCATATATGATTAGAGAATATTAGAATATATTAGATATGATTGTATTTTAAGATTATATATGCTAAGATACACATTATATAATTATATATATATATGATATTTTATGTTTTGGCAATCCTGAAGTGAGGGGGTGTAGCCAGGAGATTCTCATGCATCTGGCGAAATTGATGCAGCCAGAAGCACAAGGATCACAAAACTCATTGACGCTGGGCTCTATTCACGGGGAGTCCTCATAACACCTCATTCTATAGAAACTCATGCCGAGTAAGTTTCTCATTCTTGAATGGGTTTTGCAGTTTGTGGAGCTGGGGAGTGTCAGAGCAAGTGATTTTATTTTTGCATCCCGTCAATACGAGTTATGCGCTGTCTGTGCTTGATTCCGTTGGATCCCAGGAGAAGCATGCAAACGTGATCAAGAAGATGGGCGAGGAGTTGGATGTCTTGGATCTGATGGTGATGTCGAAGTACCTTAACATGAGCTTCATGCTTTGCGCAGACAATCAGAATCACAACACCCTGAATCCCACATCAATCTTGGATTACCTCAAAGACTTTGGGGTGGACATGAGCTCCGAATTGGCACCAGAAGATTCTCCAGCGGGTGTGCTGATTTTGTGCTCTTCATCGTTTGGAGGACAGGGTATCAACCACTTTGTCCCTGCTTGGTTTGCAGAAGAGTTAGGAGACGATGACTTTGAAAAGGTGAGATATCGTTCCCTAGCAAGATATGAAAAGACAATGGAACGCTTGAAAAGGGACCAGAAGAGGCATTCTGCCAAGTTGCGCGTTGAGAAGCAAACGCATGGTGATGCTTCTGATTCTGCAAGCTTGGCGCAACTCACGTTGACCTCTCTTGAGGATGAATGGCTGAGGGAGACACAATGGCGGGAGTTTGAGATCAAGTGCCACGCATCGGGCCTCCATCCTGTAGATGTCCCTGGCGATGGCAACTGTTTGCTTTGGAGCATCAAGTGCTTGTATGAGAACGACATTTATGGCAGCAAAATCGATCCAGAGAGCAAAAAGGACATGGCCGTCATCAAAGAGTGGAGGAAGCAGACAGTCAAGGCATGGAATGAGAGGAAAGGCATTCCTTGCTGGCAATTGTTGTACGAGAAGATGTATGTCGATTCTGATGAGCAGATGAAAATTCATCAGCCCTCCAGTGTGTCCCAAGGTGCCCTTGAACTTGTGAAAGCGGAGGTCGAAGGATCCAAAGAGCAAGGATGTGGAATTCCTCCCAACAAGCAAGGTCAGGATCTTGGCAACGTTGATGCTCCAACGTCACATTGTTCTGATGGAGCCCAGCAGCCGAATCCCAAACGGATTGCACGGGCCCGGGTAGCTCCTGGCTTTGGGGATTCTGGCAAAGAGATGGATGATGCTAGCAAGTTCTGCCAACCCGGTCCATCCAAGCCCACTGTCAAGAAGAACGCATCAAAGACAAAACAACAGAAGAAGCAATCCAAGTGTTCAAAACAAGACTCAGCTGCCGGGAACGACGACATTGAGGACTCGCACCAAAAGCAGGAAGGTGATGACAGTGAGATTGACATTGATGTTGCAGAGAACCTTGCCAAGGACACTGTCCAGGAGAACGGGCCAGCCCAGAAACGGCGTCGTGTCGCCCGAAGAAAGCAGAAAGGTGATCGAGAGATTCAGCTGTTAGCCTTGCGAAAGTATCTAGCACATAAGGGCATCACTTACCCTGCCTGGATGACTGCTCACTGGAGGCCAGACCTGATGGGTTTCCGTGGTTTTCCTCTACATTGTTTCTTTTGCATTCTTTTGCTATGTGTTCAGGTTGAAAAAACAATCAAAACATGCAGGATGATAGGTCAGGACAGGGCATTTTATAGAATACAGTGATTTGTTTTACCACTTCCATGTTTTGGCCATTTCTTGCCAGAGCCTGCAGGTTTGCTGGGTGCAAAAAGGCTGCGGCCTGCCGACTCGGCTCTTACACTCAGATGCAGAATGAGTTAGTGATGAACACCAAGTCCTGGACTGACTTCTCGTGCAAAGCTTGCCAGTACTTGCTGGAATCTCATGGTTTTGATTCCGACCTTGCTTCGAGGCACACAGCTGCAGCAATGACTGGGGAAGATGTTGAAATAGTAGATGGTGACATCAACATGCCTGACGATGCGAAGAACATCTTTGATGGAAACGAAGAGAAAGGAGAAGCTCAAGAGGAGGAGAACGGTCTCACCTTGGAGCAATTGGTCATGTCCATCTCTCCACATTTTCAGGCATGAACTGGAGCGTGATGGATTTTAACTGTAGTTTGATGCTGTTTGATGATGATCTGATGTTTGTTTGTTTGCTTGGAAATAAAAAATGCCTTATGTGATCTTATTTGATCTTATTTGATATCTTATTTGATATTTTTTTATGGTTATGGTACCCTGGGCACATGAGATTTTATAGGTTATGTTTGGTTGCCTTCGTTTGTGTGGGCAGGTCGTGACGCAGGGAGGGTACAAGCAGCACGTGCCCATCAGATGCACCCTTTGCACATCCAGAAGCCAACCACATGGGAAGGTTGTGGACGCTGTCTCCATGCACCCCAAGGATGTTAGAAAATTTCTCGGGCAACACTTGCAGACTGATTGTCACAATAGAGCATTGGGTGCACTTGCTGCGAAGAATGCTGCGCAGGATGGCGAGCAAACACTTGAAGAGGTACCTTGTGAAGCGGTGATCCTCAAATTTGACTTGGAAGCGGAGGGAGCAGCCACCAAACTACATGCTATGGTCCATCATGTGCAACAGTGGATGAGTTGGCAAAAGCAGGATTGCGGCCTCCAGAAGCACAGCTACAAGCTCACCCAGGACTGTGTCGAAATCCGGCACTCAGATTGCACGCGCACTGTGGAGGTGGTCAAGGGCGCTCAGAAAATTTGTGGGCCCTGCAGCAAGCTCACAGACGGTCTGAGCATCAGACGTATGATACACAAGTTTGCTTTGAAGAAGTATGCTGCAGAGCGGCTCCATGCTATGCTCTTCCATTCCGATGAGAGGCTGCAGGAAGGAGAAGCCAGGATGAAAGCTGACCCTATCTATGAGTTCTTCAGAACATCGTTCGACCGCATCATGGGCTATGATGCGTTGAACCTAAAAAACTGGGTGAGGTCATCTTTCCTGAGCCTTGAAGAAAGCAGGAGAAGTCAGGCAATGCAGAGTTTCATGGAGTCGATAGTCACGCCCTGTGTCCAGGTCAATGTGCACGCTGCCCTGGAGGCCAGACCTCAACTCTTGCGAGTCCAAACTGTGTTTGAAACTGCTTTGGAGCAGAGATCGATTTCAGACATGGAGCGCATCAACCTCGAAATTGCCAAGTGCAGTGTGGAAGGAAGACTGTCACAGCATCCTTTGCTTCAAGGTCTCATCTTGAGCTGCATCAAGCTGTTGGAAAGAGAAGAGAAAGGACTGGCAATGACCGGCCGCAATGCAGCCAACTCAATCGCTGCCAATGATGAGGCCAAGGGCTTGGTGCAAGAAGCAGGTGCCACTCTAGCCATTCTTGGTTGCAACGCAGAGATGCTGAAAAGATTTGGCCAGAGTCGTGCCGTGAAAAGAAGCTTGAAAAACATGACCGAATATGGCTTACCGAGTCCTATGCTGGCGCTCTCGCAGGAAAGCAAGATTCGGGAGAACCTGACGCTGATTGATGAACGGCTGTCTGCCACCACTGGCAAATCAGGATGTGACTGGGTTGCTGACAAGAAGGTGTCTGATGTTGGATGATGTTGTCAATTTGATGTCAAGTCTATAACATCAGTAGGTCCACACATGTCATTTCATAGTATCCAAGGGTGCTGATATTTAGAATTCACTTCAAATTCCGAGGTAGGCTCATGGCGTGCTTTGACTGCACATATTTGCTGCAGCTGAACAGCCAATCCTATGACCGCAAGAATGAGAAGGTCTCTTTGGTTGGAGGCGCATGGTCACCTTGGAGTAGTGGCAATGCGAGCGTCGAGCTGAACGAGGAGATGGACATGGCAAGCATCAAACCAGCCACAGACATGTTCCTTGTGTCAGCTTCCGTGTGCTTTTTACTTTTGTATGCTTTTTTGTTGGATCTAAAGCTACACTGGCATTACATGGCATTACTCTGGCTGCAGACTGACATGGACCCAAACAAATCTGAAGAATGACAAGTACCTCATTTTTCATTGTCATAGAGGGGGTTGGGACAAGTGATTTTATAGTAGTTTATAGATGTTTATAGTATTTTATAATATTATATTATCTTCTTTGAGCAATTAATGCAACTTAATCTGATGTTTGGCCTTTCAAAATTGGCTGGAGTTCGCACACATGAGGCTCGAGTTCTTGCTGTTTGATCCGGGGGCAGAGAAGCAATTGGCACTTCCTGCAGCAGAAATGCCAGTCAACATTGGTGATGTGGATGGCAAGTTCATGACCCAGACTGTGGACCTCTTTATGGCTACTGCCTTCCCATACGTGAGGTGCATTTGCTTTGATGGCCACGGTTCCCATCAAGTCATCCGGAGGATTATGTTCGGCCAAGGTGGAGAGCGTGACCATGAAGTGTTGTTTCTCGGATATATTATGATATGTTATGATATGGGATGATATGTGACCAGGTTTTACCATTTTTGGAAGAAGGCTTGTAAAGGCATGTAAAGCCAAAGAGTAAAGATATGTAATTAAAGAATATCAAAGAATTATAAAGATATTCATTATCCATTCCTCCATTTTGGGTTGTGCATTGAAGACATTTTCCTGATCTTTCATGTAGGCCCGTTGTGATTTGTCATTCTATCGAATGGACATAAACTGACTGTGTTTTATGTTCTCTACTTCACGAAGCATAAACAGTTTACACACGGAGCCTTGGAGAGAAATTTGAGGGGCCCATAGAGTATCAATGTTGTTCTCAGGTCGTTGTTCGACTCAAAATTTTTCCGGGAGTTGAAGTTCCAGCCTCTACCACTTCACAATTTGCCACGTCTCCCGGTGATGACACCGAGCTTTCAAGGGCAGCCCTACTATTGCGTTCCAGGACCATGTGCCTAGGTTCAGATTCAGAGGTATTTGCTGGGCATCTTCTTGGTGCCGTTTTAATCATTTCTATGGGAACATATGGGAACGGAATTGAATGGATGGGTTGGGTACAGTCATTTTATAGAGACCCTGTGGTTATATGATGTTATATGATGTTATATGATGTTATATGATATATGATGATGTTATATGATGCTATATCATGCTATATCATGCAAAATGATTTTATATGATGTTATATGCACACACACACTTACACACACACACACAGAGTCATGCATATGAAGAAGTATGAGAAGATGGTATGGACAGAATGATCCGCAATGAAGCAAATAATTTGGATGACAATGTGATTTCTGTATGTTTTTTTCATCTTTTCCAGAATATTCTGGAGCTGATTGTCTGAGTGATTCCCAGGTCATGCCAATAAGAACAGCGGGGGCCAAGCCCAAAGTTCTTTGAGAACGATGCACCTGGGTCGTTTCTGGGTTGACCTTAGTGGGTCACTCCTATGTGGAATGCCTGGTTCTGCATTTGCCAGGGATGATCCTCAGAGCGACAGCCTCCAAGCGCTCTTGGCCAACCCCTTCTTCTATGTCCACACAACCTCGGGCACACTGAGCATGATTCCGATTCCATGGATGAACAGGGGAGCATTGCTATGGTCCTTGTCAACGGCTTTGGTCTTCAGTCCCATGCTCCACAAGGGCATGTCCTTGAAGGCCAGGACTGAGATTTCGGTTTCGGGCTACATTCTCCTCGACCTCTGGTACCTGATGGGGGCGAAACTGGAAGCATCCCGTGGTGCCTTTGTGGGTTCCATGACCATGGCCAGAGAGACTGTCACCAACTTGCAGAACCTGACGCTGAGTTTGGTGTGCATTGCGACCTCGAAGCCAGTTACGTGTCTCAAAGTATGGATCGCTCGTATACATTGTCAATGAACATTCGTACTTTCTATAAAATCATCGGTTCTGACATGGTTTCCTCCCATACTTTGAGAATGTTTTAGTCTAATTTGATAGTTTTGCAATGTTTTGCATACACCATGATATGATTGAACCTGAACTTCTGCCTCAGGCAGATTGGTGCCCTTGGCAATATGGAACGGCAAGGCTCAGCGAGCTGAGCATTGAGCAGCTCTTTGGTAGGCTCAGACGAAGGCAAAGCAATGCCCAGCTTTCCCCGATGCAATTCTGGGAGGCGTCCCAACGAGAGATGTTGCGTGCGTCGAACCAGAGATTCAAGGACTGTGTCAAGCTGAAGGACATCAAGCAAGAGCCAGCCCTGACTGAGACGGAGTTGCTAGTCCCAGTCATGGTCTTGTGATGTGTTGTTAGGTAATAAAAGTTGATAAAATTTGAAAAATATATAAATAAAAATAGGAGCAGGATGGAGCAGGATGGATTAGGATTGAGATTCTACAGGTTGCAAAGCAAGGATTATTCTAGGATAGCCAGGTAGAGACGTAGGACAATGCATCCTGTGCGTGCGCACCCCAAATTTGAGGTTTCAAGGCTGCTGTCAACGTGCCTACAATGCAGCGGTGAAGCTTGCAGCATGGGCAGGGGGCTACACAGAAGCATCGCTCAAGAGCTACTATGAGGAAAGCGCCGCTGCAGGGTGGTTTGATCAAACTTTTGGCCATGTCATGGAGTTTGACACTCTTGATGATCCTGATGATCCTCATGAAGCTGAAGCCCGGGACATGTCACTTGGCCATATATAATTTATTTATATATATATAATTTATTTATATATATATAAATAATTATATATATAAATAATTACATATATAAATAATTATATATATATCATTATATAATATTATATACCAGTTTTTAAAGTTTTGTGGTATCCTGAACGTTTATCATCTTTTATCAATGAATATCAATGATATAGTATGTGGATGTATGTGGATCTATGTGCATCTGTGATATTCTATGATCATCTATGCGCTTCTATGATCTTCTATGTGTATCATTCTGATTCTGATATTTTTTTTGAACTTCGGAGCATGGTTTGGCAATGGTGCTTCCTATGAAATGACTGTTCCTGAGCCAAAGGGGTGTAAGCTTTGAAACTGTCAGCTTTTTGCCTTCAGGTCAGAGACTAATCGTTTCCAACTTGTCCTGGCAGAAGTGACGAGAAAGGCTTGCGTGCCTGATCCTGAGCCAGCTTCTCAGAGTGAGATGAGGGAGGAAGATTTGGACCTCAATGCAGATCTTCGGCGTCTCGAACCAGAAGACAAGGAGGATGTGTTGCCTATGATGCATGATATGCCAAGCAGCAAGAGATTTGATGAGGACCTACCAGCAACACTGGGTGTTGCAATGTGCCCTTGCTAAGAAAAGCTAGGATGTCAGGTTTTGTTATGCTTTTCACCTTGACCCCTATGAAATCATTGTATTTGAGGGGGGAGAACCACATGGATCTGTTTTGTTGTTTATGTTGTTTGGACTTTTGCCAGATCCAAGGTCATGTGGAGGCGACAGGTGGAACGCGCTTTGGAGATTATGTTTGCATTTGCGATGCGCACCGGATGGATGTGACGCCCAATGGGTCAAGAATCCTAGAGCGAAGCGCAGTCGCACACTCAATTGGCATCAGCGCAATTGCCAGTTGCTGAAGATGAAGCAGATGAAATCTGTGGAATCACGTGATCGGGTGCGAGCTGGAAGGCTGGAGCGTTGGTACGAGCAGGGGAGAAGATTGAGAGCTTCGTTCGCAAAACCCTTGGCTGAACCAAACTCACTTCAGTTCCTCAAGCTGCACCCGATGTTGACCTCTGTCGTTTTGTTTTTTTTTCACGTGTTTTACTCGCAGTGTGATGTGCATGTCCCTTTATGCTCTTTATGTGTTTTTTATCCGATGGGCTTCAGGTCTGGGCATGTCGTGCTCTATGTGGACGAGCAGCAGACGATCTGCCTTGGATTGGTTTTGACGGTTTGGCGCATCGGCAAGAAGCGCAAGCCGGCACCAAATCCATGTCCAGTGAATGGTTGCTTCTGCTTCCGGGTGGTCGAAGCAACGCAACAAGAGGATTCATTGTATTTCACTGTGCTGTTTTTACATACTTTTTTTTATCCTTTTTTACCATCTTGTATTCCATATTCATTGTATATTGATGTATCTTGTCAGATCTCATAGAAGGATTATACTCTTCAAGAAGGTCAATACAGGTCATTTTATAGAGGTATCCTTGTGCCCATTGCAGGACTCTTCTGCATCCTTCGTGGTTTCAGACACCAGCATTGCCCGGGTTGTTCCCTTGGACGCTCTCATTGCAGTCCTGGACTGTGAAGATAGCTTCTTGGAAAGCAAAGTCCAGCCAGGGACATGGTGCATCGCATGTGATCGCAGTGAAATCGATAGCATCAGAACTTGATTCTATTTCACAAGGGGGGGGTCACACCTGTCATTTTATAGAATGTGTGCTTTGTCAGGCCTGTTCATGCCTGGTCCATTTATGTCATTCTATGTCCATTCATATTTTGCCCTCCTGAGGCAAGTTGCAGGAACACGAGCTCATCGACCGCTGCTTGCTGACATTGACTGAGCAGTCCGTGGAATCGTTCCAACAGGCACGTGAGACCAAAGCTGAGGGGTGGAGATGCAGCTTCGTGGGGGCAGAGGTTCCTGAGAAGGGCAATGGCAGGGGCCGCAAGAGGAGGGCTCGTGTGGTCAAGCGGACCAGGCTGGCCAAGGCGAAAGCCGCACCTAAGAAGAAGAGCAAGAAAAACAAGAAGAACAAGAACAAGAAGGACAAGAAGGACAAAGGAGGCAAGAAGACCAAGAAGCAGAAGGCCGGCGAGGAAGAGAACAATACGATTCCTGCCGTTGCCGCCAACTTCACCCGTTCCAAAAAAGGAGACAAACTGATCCAGCAACAAATGGTGGCTCTTCTCAATTTGGACATCAGCAAGTTTCCAGACAAGCCTGCCTTTGACCCTGCCTCTGGAGCTTGCAGGTTGAAGATTGATGCCGCGAAGGGGCAGTCATGGCAGAAGGTTGTCGACAAGGCAAGCTTTTACTTCCACAGTATCTACATGACCAGGAGCAGACCAGAATACGGCCAGTCGTTGGAAAAGCATTTCCAGACTCTCGAGAAGAACCTCAATGATGGCAACCGATCGCCGTGGCTGCGCTTGCTGAGGTCCATTTGTGAGATGCCGGATGTGAAATGATGTGAAGACTTAATTCAAGTAGCACCAAGTTGAAAGTGTACGGATAAGTGGTGCAGCTTGGTTTGATGCCAATTGGTGCAATGCATCCTGAGTGTTTGTGTTTGAATCAGAGGATTCAAACTGAGGTCACCTCGTTTCGTGTCAAGCGGAATCAAGCGATATCAAGCGGAGTGATTTTTATCTGTGTTTCATCACTTTTTACATCGTGTCATTGTTTTGTTTCTTTGGAGGTGACAGTAGGTGCTGTAGGTGAGACAATGACTTGGCACTGCGGGCAGGTGCTTTGAAACGACATGAAAAGACAAACGGAGAGACAGCGAGATGAAAAAGTTGTATGAATGACAGCGGATTCCATGTGGTTTCCGTGCAGGTTCCGTGCAGATTGATCACCGGATTCCGTACGGATTGGTCATTGGTCACCGGTTTCCGTACGGATTGGCCACCGGATTCCGTACGGATTCTGGTCTACCTTCATGGGCCCCCCTCCCCAAAGAGTTACGGATGAGTTGGGCATCACTTTGAGGGGGGGTCAAATCTCATTTTATAGAGCATTTTTTTCCCTAGGGGCTAATGATTTTATTTTAAAACATATGAACCAGGGTCATAGCTAACCAATTTATCACTATAGAATCTATAGCATGACCCCCCCAGGGAATTCTTAACAGGTATTATATATATATATATGTAAAGTATGGGTTTTAACTACTGTATTACTGTAATTTCAATACATATTATGGTGGCGGTGTAGTATTGTACTACAGTACTGTACTGTAATTTCAATACATATTATGGTGGCGGTGTTATCCAACCCTTATCCAACCCTTATCCACCCCTTATCCAACCCTTATCCATCCCTTATCCAACCCTTATCCAGCCCTTATCAAGCCCTTATCCAGCCCTTATCCACCCCTTATTAACCCCTTATCCAGCCTGGATCTAGCTCTCCAGCCCTTATTCAACTCACTTTGAAGGATTGTGAGTGATTACTGTACTGTCATCTACTGTAACCCCAGAGATGTTCAAAGCTAAATGTTATTTGAAAAGTTGACAACGGTGATGCAGTTAGAATATGGATCAAGTACTGTACTGTATTGTACTGTATACCGACCGAAAGCTTTGTTTGTTTTTGGAAATTTGTTTCAAGACTGTCAACTCACTTTGAAGGATTGTGAGTGATTAAGATATGTCAGATAAAGTGCCAGAATGTTTGCCAGATAGAACGCCAGAAGATTTGAGTAGATAATATGCCAGAAGATATGCCAGATAGAATGCCGAATAGAATGCCAGAAGATATGTCAGATAGAATGCCAGAAGATTTGCCAGTAACAAAATGTATAAATGTTATGGTGGGGATCACACGAAGTAAAGTAATTGGAAACCTGTTTCAAGACTGTCAACTCACTTTGAAGGATTGTGAGTGATTACTGTACTGTCACCTATTGTAACCCCAGAGATGTTCAAAGCTAAATGTTATTTGAAAAGTTGACAATGGTGATGCAGTTATCCAGCCATTATCCAGCCCTTATCCAGCCCTTATCCAACCATTATGAACCCATTATCCATATATAGTATACTGTACTGTACTGGATATATATGTAAAGTAGAGATTTTAACTTATAACCATGGTGTCGCTGATGCCCTGAAGGCGTTCCAACGACTACAGATGGGTGGGATGAACCTGCAGCGCGACGCTGTCTATGGCAAGAGCGAGGACCCTGACGTTCATGTGCTATACCAATTTGTGGAAAACCCTGATTCGAAGCAATGGTACTCCCACTATGACATTCTGGTTCCCGCTGATGATAGCGAACAGAATGGCAATGACATATGGTGGCTCCCCAAAAATGCACCGTTTCAAGAACCAATGTCACAAGAGAGTCTTTACAGGGTATCAGAAGAACGTGCTATGATTGAAGAAGGTGTTAGATTAGACATGGAAAAAAGAATAGCTCCTTTTGCAGCAGAGAGCAAATCAGCAGAAGCACCTCCAGATGCAACACAGTCTCCAACACCAGCAGAAGCAAGCGCAGAGACACATGCAGTTGCAGCCGCAGCACCGGAAGACGAACAAGCAGCAACTGAAGCAGCAACACCAGCAGATTGCAAATCAGCACAAGCACCACCAGAGTCAGAGGTGCCAGCAGCAGACGTATCAACTGAAGCAGCAGAAGCACCTCCAGATGCAACACCGTCTCCAACACCAGCAGAAGCAAGCGCAAAGACACATGCAGTTGCACCGGCAGCACCGGAAGACGAACAAGCAGCAACTGAAGCAGCAACACCAGCAGAGAGCAAATCAGCACAAGCACCACATTCAGAGGTACCAGCACCAGACGTATCAACTGAAGCAGCAGAAGCACCTCCAGATGCAACACCGTCTCCAACACCAGAAGCAAGCGCAGAGACACATGCAGTTGCACCGGCAGCACCGGAAGACGGACACGCAGCAACTGAAGCAGCAACACCATCAGAGAGCAAATCAGCACAAGCACCACGTTCAGAGGTACCAGCACCAGACGTATCAACTGAAGCAGCAGAAGCACCTCCAGCTGCAACACCGTCTTCAACACCAGAAGCAAGCGCAAAGACACATGCAGTTGCACCGGCAGCACCGGAAGACGGACACGCAGCAACTGAAGCAGCAACACCAGCAGAAAGCAAATCAGCACAAGCACTGCCAGATTCAGAGGTGCCAGCACCAGACGTATCAACTGAAGCAGCAGAAGCACCTCCAGCTGCAACACCGTCTTCAACACCAGCAGAAGCAAGCGCAAAGACACATGCAGTTGCACCGGCAGCACCGGAAGACGAACAAGCAGCAACTGAAGCAGCAACACCAGCAGAGAGCAAATCAGCACAAGCACCACATTCAGAGGTACCAGCACCAGACGTATCAACTGAAGCAGCAGAAGCACCTCCAGCTGCAACACCGTCTCCAACACCAGAAGCAAGCGCAGAGACACATGCAGTTGCACCGGCAGCACCGGAAGACGGACACGCAGCAACTGAAGCAGCAACACCAGCAGAGAGCAAATCAGCACAAGCACCACCAGATTCAGAGGTGCCAGCAGCAGATGCAAACGTACCAACTGAAGCAGCAGAAGCACCTCCAGGTGCAATACCGTCTCCAACAGCAGCAGAAGCAGACGCAACCACACTGGAACTTGCACCGGCAGCACCAGCAGAAACAAAAGACAGGCAAGCACCAACTGAAGCGACAGAAGCACGTCCAGCTGCAGAACCAGCAGAAACTGCAGACATTGAAGACCTTCTAGATGATGAGATAGAAAAGGCAACGGTTGCTAGACCGTTCCAACCGGAGCATCTTTTTGACATAGACCGCTGTGACACACAGGACACTACCCAAGCAGAACAAGCAGAGCACAGTTTCCACCCAGCCAATCACATAGAAGCTATGGCAACAGAAGGAACAGAAGCGCTTCCAGCAAGCGCATCTCAACAGCAGCCAGCAACAGCACAGGTTGAGGGTGACCAAGCAACAGAAGACAAGCAAGCAGCGCCTCCAGCAATGGAGCCACAAGGTCAGAAACGCATTGCTGAGAAAAGTGAGCAGCAACAAGACAAGCGGCCAAAGAAACGTAAGCATGCAGCAGAGCAACCACAAGAGGATGAACTCTTGTTAGTCAGGATTTCACGTCAAGTCTTTGAGGCGCTGTGCAAACAAGACTCAGGAAATGCAGTTTGGATTTTTATCTGGCCACCGAACAAAAGAGTTTTGGAGCACAAGGCAATTTGCTTTGTGGAATCTGGAGGTCAAGAGGCATTTGGGACAGCCACCTTAGCAGGGTTCAGCCATATCCAGAGCTTTGGTGATTTGAGATCATCAGTTGCATTTTCACTTGCTCATAGCGTACAAAAGAACGCTTGGAGATCACGCACCTAGGCTTTGCCTAAAGATTGGTTTTTTTAAAATTCTTTATCTAAACTTTGCAACAATCATGCAGTTAGAATATGGATCAATATGGTTCCAGTCGTACAGGAATACTACAGTGTACTGTAACATGGTTCTATATTGGTACAGTGCAGCACTGCACTGTAACTACAAACAGAAATCATGACCCATTGCTGTTGCGAACAGAACTGTAGAGCAGTATGATGTTGACACGCTGTTTGCACCCCGACTACACTCATCCCGGTGAGGCATTCTCGACACGAAGACGAAGGGAATTATCGTCCAATGGGTGTTCTCGGGCATCAGCAGGTTTGATGTCAAAACTACGATTGGTCAACTGCCTAGAGGCAATTATTCTCAGATTCCAAGGTCCATGCTCCAGCAGGTTCGAATTGATTCGCCAGCGATGTCACTTCGGGCCAGCGCTGAATTCTTTGTTGACCGATTAGATCCAGGAGACCGGGAAGCTTTGGCCACAACCATGCAATTGCTGCATAACAAATGCATCACCTTCGGTAGTACCTGCTCGGGTACGGACATCATCATACCAGTGATGCAACATACATTCCAGACTCTTTCTCGGATGTTCAATGTGGCTAGCCATGCACCAGATACTTTACTGTAGCGTTTTTGTTCATAACCAATGGGATGTGTTATGATTTTCTATTGTACTGTACTGTATCTGAATTGCACAAATGGTTTCTTCTTGCTCTTTGTGGCCATGCATAGCCAAAGTACGGCAACTTAGTCCGGGACAAATGCTTTCAAACCACAGTTGTTTGGAAACACGATCAGAATCATTGGTTTTGATTTGGGATTCCATTAGAATATTGAAACAGTGATGCAGTTAGAATATGAACCAAGGTCTCGGTGACTGTGAAACACACGTTCTCAGTGGAGCTGGAGGAATCTAAGCGTGCCTTCATCATGGCGGCACATGGTGTGCACGATGACATGCACGTATTTGGCGATGTGAATATTTTCCATGCACCATCTGAAGATCACTACTGCTACACATGCCAGCGAAGCCATGCACTTCCACACAGTGTCGACCTGCTAGCATCGGGCCCTTCATGTAAGAACCTGTCCAAGCAGTTTAGCAATAGAGCAGCTTACAGTGGAGGTTTCTTGGTTTACCGCTGTACAGTACGTACTGTAATTTCTATTGTAAAGTTCATTACATAATGTGCATCAAAATATGCAGATGGAATATATTTGGTGGTGTGCCAGCCTTGTTGGCTACCATTGGTGTGCCAGCCTTGTTGGCTACCATTTACATGTATATATATATATGCATATATATATATATGCATATATATATATATGCATATATATATATATTATTTTTATATATTTATATAATACTTCTACAAATGCAGAAATGTACGAGAGGGGGGGGTTCCCCCACCCCACAATCAGGAGGGATCGTACTGTACTGTATGCAGTACTGTATTGTAGTGTTGTACAGTATTGTATGCAGTACTTCTTGCAGGGTTCATTCTTTTTACAGTACATTACTGTACAGCACTGTATTGTACTGTGCTACTGTAATTTCTTTGGAACATTCCACCACGCTGCACTGCATTGTCACAGCCATCCTCAGGCTACAAATCGGGCATTGGCTGCTCCGGGGCCACGTATCAGGGAGGTGTCAGGGAAGCAGCTCGCCAAACAAACCCGGCAATCATTCTCTTTGAGAATTTGGTCGGAGTGGCTGAATGGACCCGAGACTCTGCTGGACAGAAGCAAGAACCAGCCGTAAAGGCTTGGTTTTCAAAACAGATTTTTACTGTACTGTACTGTATCCGCAACAATTTTTTGCCCAAAACCCAACACGATACCGGTGCTGTGATGTACTGTACTATGCTGTACTGTATATTTTGTTGTGTTTCGGAGGGAAACCATGCAGTTAGAATATGAATCCAGCAGTTCGATCATTTGATGATAGCTCTGATAGGTCATCACTGATGATTTGAAGCAGCTTGGTTATGTCTTCCAATGGTCGAAACTTTCAGCTCAACATTACTTGCTGCACCAACGGAGAAACAGAGTCTACGGCACTGCAGACGTGGATAGCGGTCAAGATCCAGAAGTGTTTGCCTCCAAAATGCACCACACATTGAAATCTCTTGCTAGCGACATGCGATTTGATTTCGGTGACATTTTCGACACAACACTCCCCGAATCACCGGCAGAGGGTTCAGCAGCAACCAAAGTTGCCGAGGTTTTGCAGAAGGTTGCCCTCAGGAGTGGGTCTAGCAATGTGTTTGTGGATACTTCCACAAGTTCAGCGTGTGAGCATGAATACAGTGAAGGAGTCACAACATGCATTCGTCCAAGCCATTCCATTTTCAGTACCAAATTGAACCGGTATCTTACAGTTGCCGAACTATTTCGGGCACAAGGTCTATTCAAGCAAGATTTCAAACATCCTGATGCCATTGATGCAGTGTTGGAAAGACCCAGGGAAGCTCAAGATTTATGTGGTAACTCGTTTGCTTCCACGTGCGCGCAAGCGCAACTGTTGTGTTCCTTAGTTCACGCAGAGGGTTGGAAACACATTGGAACTCATGAGACTTCCGGGATCATGGATGCTCCTCTTAGCAGCCCTGCTGCATCGAAACAGCAGCCTACTTCAACATGTTCGCCAGAGGCAACACTTGACAGCCAGGTTCATGCCAGCACATGCAAGCGCAAGCTAGGCGTGGAGAGCTACTTTGAACCTGTTGACTACAAGCGATCCAAGTTTCCTGCAGCCAAAGCTGCATCTGGATTACCTCACCAGGCTTGTGGTTCAATTACGGCATGGTAAGATTTGTAATGGTTGGTAAGATTTGTAATGATGTCCACATGGAATCATGCAGATAGAATATGGACAGTTTAAGCTGCGCAATATTGTACTGTACTGTTGCCAGGACACCTCTCTTCACTTGACGGATGAGCAACTTCAAATATTCTGGGACAATTTCAAGGTTCTGGATTCTGAGAAGAAGCATTTTGCCAAACCACCATGCAATTGGATGCCACCACCATTTCGAGACATGAATGGCGACGAGCTAACTGCCTACTGGAATGGCTTCAGAACCATCATGCAGAAATCGGCACCTGCCCAGGACAGTGGTGACTGCGGTGATGGCAGTGCTCCTTCCATTGATGCTTCCATGAAGCAAGCGGCATCTTCGTCAAATTCCACGGTCGTTTTGAAACGCGTCAGGGGCAAGACCAACCCTGCCGTGCTTACATTGCAACAGCTCAAGAGTGATGACAATAGGAAACAAACTCCAGTGAAGGCCAAAAAGACACCGTCATCACCTCCAAAGAAACGCTCATATGTACCAAAAGCCAAGATTTGCCGAGATGGTAAGAACCATTCTGTGAGCATTTGGTCCAAAGTTCAGCTTTTCAAGGAGACCTTGTTGTGGAATTTTACTGAACAGTACAGCACTGCAGTCATGTTGCTTTATTTTGGGAACCACAACTAAACTACTGCACAGTACTGTAAAATACTGCAATGTAATGAATCCATATTCTATCTGCTATTCTGCAGTCGCTCCCTGCCAGGAGTACGATCGGTTGAAAGCAGATCCAGACATCAAACACCCAGAGAAGTACATGCTGAATACCAGCCGCCGTCAAGGCCAATACCAAGGGTGCTTTTCGAAATCCCACTGGGGTGGAAAGAGGATTTCCCAGCAATGGGACCTCTTTTGTGAGATCGCGCCGAAGCAAGCCAAAATGTATTCGGAGTTGCCCAACCACGTCCGAGCACTACTCGGAATCGAGGAGCGCAAGCACAACAATTCCAAGTTCAAGGCCACTGAAGGAACGCATCGTGTGCCTACAGCTTTGATTGTAGCCCTAGAATCACTTCTGATGGAAAGAATTCATTTGGGTGAGGAGGTGACTTACGATCTAGCAGCCAGTGTGCTCTTGCGCTTGGTTGGGCTTTGGAACGAGAAGCTGCAGGAGCTTACTGCTGAGGCAAGAGGCGTTGGCCATCAGGTGCTCAAACAGCAAGACATGGCCATCACTGGGCGTCCCACTGAAGAAGAGGAACACGAGATGGAGAAAGATGGAGCTGCGCATATGGCCGGTTTGTTTGACAGCCTGCGTGAATGCAAGATCGTGAACAACTCACCTTCTCTAATGATTCTCGGCTTGGGGTACCGTACTGCATCAGAATGTTTTCATATACTGTACTGTACAATACTGTATTGTATGAAAATTCAATTGAAGTTTGTGATCCGTGGTGCAGTTAGAATATGATCCCACATCTAGGGTCACGATCTTTCGCCGCAGCTCAGGAGAGCTACTCAGCGCACATGCTCGCGCCTGGGATTGAAAGCATCGAGTGTCACAAAGCAGACCCGCCATCTCCCCTACAAACATCCATCAATGGTGGCAGTCAGACAGTGGGTTCAGATGATGATAAAGCAACAGCACATAGAACCCAGATTGATGTGTCATTTCGACCAAGTATGGACGACACATTATGAACCTGCCAAAAAAGTGTTGTTCAAGCCAACTGAAAAAGCTGGGCAAGTGGATGCCGAAGGCTACAAGCCATCGACTGAGAAAATGCTGAACAGTATCAAACGGGCACTTCGCATTCATGATCATGATGATTCCGTTGCGAAGGCTGCTGGTCCTGCCCCTCCTACTCTGTGTGCTCAATCGACACTTGTCCCTGTGGAGTACAACAGAAATGCAAGAACTACCACAACATTGAGCTTTGCTGATGGAACTATGGGGAGAGCATATGTCACAGCTTCTTCAACTGCAGTGTCAGGGGCTCAATGACTACGGTATTGTGATTTCTTCGTTGTTTGAAGCTAGCGGCAAAAGTAGATCATTGCTTAGTACAGCACCATGCAGGTTCATGCAGTTAGAATATACATGTTCTTATCCAAGTACTACTGTACTTATACTGTACTCTACAGGACTGTTTGGTGCTGCATCTCCCTTGCAAAGCCTGATAGCGTGGTCAAGGCGATGAACCGAGAGCTTGGGCATGTGATGCACATCGCCCGGAACCATGATTCTGGTACACACATGTGGAATTCCAGCACTTTGGGGCATTACCTGGACTTTCTCAAAGAGGAGCCCAGAAGTGCGGAGCATGCAGCGTCACAAATATCATTACAGTATAGTACTGTAATCAACATCACTCAATCAATTCAATTATCTTTTGGATACAGTACAGTTTGTTCTGCCAAGCGAAAACGTGTTGATTACTGTACATGCTGTGTCATTGCCAGGAATTGAAACGAAAACGTGTTGCACTTGGCGTATCAATGGACGTAAAGGGGCTGGTGATCTGTGATGCTGCAGCAGTGCACTCTTGCTCGCTGTTCGACAAGATCCGTGCTCGATTTGAAGTCGAAGCCAACTGCATCATGCTACATGGCGGCTCCTGGCACCACGTAGTGGTGCCAGGAGGTTGGGGAGCTACTGGAGCTCCCAACGACGCATGGCACCAGTGGTTCCACTACATGAGACGTGGATATATGCGCTGTGCAGTAGGCATGTCAGCATCCTCAGCACTTCGGACTGCGATGCAAAACTTAGATCTTGCAGTGGATGGCAACACACGAATTTCGTCGCTCGAATCAGCTTGAGGACATTGCAGGATTCTTTGTACAGCTCTTGTTGAAATTGTGCAGTTAGAATATGGCATTGTATGTAACGGTACTGTACTGTAGATATGAAAATCATTCATAGTTCAGTCACATACTATACTGTACTGTGCTGTTCAGTATTGTACAGTATCCATTTGAAAATCTAAGGTTGTGATCAAAACTGGATTAATGCATAGATCTTGTGGAAATTGTGCAGTTAGAATATGACGTTACCATTAGCCATAGTTCTTTAGATAAGAACCCAGGTTGAGCATCGAAGCAAGCTTGAGATCCGATGCATGGGCTCTTCGAAAGGTGGCTGAGTATTCTGAAGGCAAAATCCTTCTCTGGTCTTGGGTTTCCCGTGGTCTCGTGGACACAGAGTTTGTAGCCAATCTCTACTACGATGGAGATATACAGAAAACCAATGAGGCTCTCAGCGGTGTGAAAGGTAAGCTAGCTGAGCTATGCGCCCTGGATGAGCTCCCACTTGTTGATGGAGCTCCTGACCCTGAAAAGGATTCTCAGCCTACTGTGATGGAAGGTGAAGTCTGTTCCTTTTGGTGCATCAGCGATCCAGAATCAGAGTCTGAGTCTGAGCCGCTTCCACTACCGATGTGGATGCGACCATCGATTGACAAGGCGGTTCTGCAGTGGAGAGACACTGCCTCCAAGTGGCAGCAGAAACTCAACAAACGCAAGATTGAGGGCAAAGACTGCCTACCACCAAAAGCACAGCAAAAGTATGATCAGT